GACCGGCAGGGACGGCAGGGATGGAAGGACTGGCAGGGACAGGGATGGGAGGACCGGCAGGGACGGCAGGGAGGTGAGGGACCACAGGGACAGGACGCGCGACGCTGCCCGGGGAGGAGCCGCGCGCAGGCCCGCCCCGCCCCGCCCCACGGTCCCGCGGGCAGCACCCGGCACAGGCCGCGGCTCCCGGAACCGGCCGGGCGCACCCGGAATCCGAGCGTGAGTGTTTGCCGCGGGCGCGCCCGGGGGGCAGGGGGGACCCCGCGCACCTACGCGCAGCTGCGCCCCGGGACGCCGATGGCCGGCGGGAGGCCCCACCTGGAGGGATCCGGCTCTGCGTTTCCTTTCGGGTCCCTTCGGTGCATTTCTTCGGGGTTTCTCCGTTTCCTTTCGTGCGTTTTTCCCTAGACGCTTTTGCTCCTGGGATCCGGTTCCCAGGTGTGCGCGCCCGAGGGTCCGAGCAGAGGAGCGAGGAGGCGCCCTGGGAGGGAGGCACGTCTGGGCTTCCGGTGGTTTTTACAGTAACGCCTGGGAGGTCCGAGTGCCTGAGGCGTTCCCTGGCCTCCGGGGTGTTGACTGCGACTTGGAGCAAAAAACCCAAAGCCAAGAGCGCTGCTCACCCAGCGCGCTTCCCCTTTCCTCCACTTCAGCCCGCTCCTGGGCAGTTTCCCGGGAACTGCTAAGGCAGAAGTTGGGAAAAGGAATTTTCTAGGTTTTTTTTTTAATGCGTTTTATTTTCCTTTGATTTGGGGTCACACACCCGGCAGTTCTCAGGGCTGACTCTGTGCACAAGAGTCACTCCTGGCCGGCTGGGGTTTGGGGGGCAGTGGGGACCATATGGGATGCCTCAATAAAATTAGTTTTTAAAGGGATAAGGAGAGTTGCATTAGGGCTGGGAGAGGTAGTATAGCTGGTCGGGCGCTTGCCTTGCCTGCTGCCAACCTGCATTCCATATTGCAGCCAGCTGTGTTCCCCCAAGCCCCTGAAAGTGGTGGGGAGGAATTGGGGGCATTATGTTGGAAGTTCAGACAGCGCAGGGATGGAGGGACAGGCCGGCTGGGAGTTTGGAAACCCCAAGAGAAAACTGCAGTGGTCTACTCTCTCGTTTGTGGGTGGGGCTAGACCCTGGGTTTAAAGCCAGACTGGGTCCTTCCCCGACTAAATATGAACTGCCCCCAGTGGTGTTTGGTGGGCTGTCACAGTGGGTGGGTTTCCGGAGGCTGGAGGGAGCAGACCCCTGAGAGGACAGCGGTCTCTGTCCTTGATGGGCCTGAAGTACAGGTGGTTTGGTGGGGCAGGGAACCCCCACTTACACCCCCAGAGTGAGACCTGGGGAGGATGAGGAAGGCAGGAGGGGGGTTTTGCCACCCTGGGTGACGGGCGTTCACCTCATCCCTGGAGGTAACCTTGATCCCCTCTGTGGATGTCAGCTCACCCCCACAGTACAGCTGCCACCTGGGGGTGACCTGTGGATGGAGGTGAGCACCCAACATAGAGGGGCTCACTCAGAGGCTGGCCTTGGGGTAGGGGGTTTCAGGGGGTGCCCAAACCCCACCGTCCTGCACCACTTTGTACCCCACTTTTTTGAGGGGGTCACACCCGGCGATGTACAGACTTTACTCCTGGCTCATGCACTCAGGAATTACTCCTGGCGATGCTCAGGGGACCATATGGGATGCTGAGAATCGAACCCCGGGTTGGCCGCGTGCAAGACAAACGCCCTACCCGCTGTGCTATCGCACTGGCCACTGACGCTTTGCCCCTTAGGGAAGAAGGAAAGGGCACAGCCAGACCCACAGCTGCTCCAGTGCCCACCCACCCAGGGAGAGTCTTAGGAGGCAGCCTTTGAGCCTCCAAAGCCAGCACCTGAGATGCACATTCTTTTGTTTCTGCAGAGGGGCCCACCGGGCCTACACCCTGGGTTCACCGAGGGCAGAGAGGTCAGCGTTAGACACACAGAATAGTTAAGCTCAGGACACACCCGGGCCAAGAGACAGCCCCCTGGCCAGGCACAGCCCTGGGAAACAGAGGGCATTTCCAGCGGCTGCAGACCAGCTGCACGGGCAGTCGTGTGAAAGGCCAGCGTCGCTTCTTGTTCAGAGGAATCAAACCCTGGCAGCCAGGCGTTGGCTTGGCCCTGCCTGCGAGTTCCAGACACTTGTCCCACCCTCCTCCATCCCTTAACCCCCTCCAGAATCAGCTCGTTTCTGAAGGGGAGTTCCCAGGAGCAGTTACTAAGGAAGAAGTGGAGAAAGGGTATTTTAGGTTGTTTTTTTTTTTCATAAGATAGTCCACAATATTTGATTACATTTAATATTCAAACGCCAATCTCACCACCATTACACCATTCCAACACGATATTTCGGATGTTTCCATCCAGAACCCCAATCCCTGTCCCAAAGCAGAACTGAAATAACATATTTTGTATTGTTTGTTATTAAAAACCTGTGAGTAAAAGTATCCTTAGAGGAAAGAGTGTGAAGATTGTTCTATTTCAACAGGGCCCATTAAGACCTTCTATAAGAGATCACTAACATATTGTTACAGGTTGAGCCTTTGTGTGCTTTACATATATGTATATGTGTGTAAATAGGAGCGATAGCACAGCGGTAGGGCGTTCGCCTTACAAGCGGCCAACATGGCCGACCCGAGTTCGATTCCTCCGCCCCTCTCGGAGAGCCCGGCAAGCTGCCGAGAGTATTCGATATGCCAAACACAGTAACAACAAAGTCTCCAATGGAGACGTTACTGGGCCCGCTCGAGCAAATATATCTATATATATGTAAAAAAAATATATTCCTGGACCACGCAGTCCAGGAATAGGTTCACTCATGGGTGAATCTTGGCCTAAGCGTGTGGAGAGCAGTCTTGAACATTGTGGCAATTGAGTTCTGGAGGTTTTTGGCTGCCTGGGCTGGGTCCCTTGGGGCATGGAGGGGTTTGACCCAGCCCCAAGTGAAACAGGCTGACGTGGGGTCCGGCCACATGATTATGGCAAGCTTCGTGTTATCCTTCCTTCAGGGAGAGAAAGCATAGGATCTGGTTTTGTTGTTGTTATTTAATCATTTTACCTTGGTTTTGGATTACACACCTGGAGGTGCTCAGGGCTTATTCCTTTTTTTTTTTTTATGTAGGAGTACTGCTATTTATTCAGCCACTGATTAGGCTGATTGAATTGGGCATGAACTCCACCTTACTTTTTATAATATTCATTTTTTATAATATTATTTATTGAATCACCATGAGAGCAGTTACAAAGCTTTTGGGTTTAAGTCTCGTTCATAGAATGAAACACCAGTACCTTCACCAGTGCTCATTCTCCACCCCCAAAAACCCCAGTATGCCCCCATCCCACACCTTCCCCCTACCTGTAGGGCAGGTGATTTCCACATTACTCTCTCTCTCTATTTTGATCACATTCAATATTTTGACACCAGACCCACCATTATTATTTGGGATTTTACCCCAACACTCAGATCTGCTGAAAAAGGAACAGTCGACAGTTTGTTTTCTATTGCTGGTTAAGAATAACATATGATGTGGCGTGGCTGCAGTAGTGGCCGCGCGATTTTGAAATTTTGAAATTTCAACAATTGAATCTGGAGGGATTTCTGCCAAAACCTGCTGGGTTCTGAGATTTGTTACTGAGTCTCTGGGATCATGGCTGTTAAGGAGCTCGATCAGGAGCCAGAAAGGCCATTCATGGGCGGCAACTCAGGGTCTCATTGGGATGGGGAGGAAAGGGCCGGCTCCACCCCCATCCCATGAGGCCTCGTGTCTCATCACTGAGGGCCTAAGCCTGACTGTCCAGTGGCCTCTGGAGAATGGCAGCCACCGAGCCGCCTAGGGGGAGCAGGCGTAGGAACAGCACCTCTTCACCCCTGGAGTGTCCCGGCAACAATAACCTACTGCGGGGTCCGCACTCATTTCTGCCAAAAGCCGCTGGATTTCAAGATTTGTTTCTGAGTCTCTGGGGTCATGGTCAGGGCTTATTCTATGCTCAGCATCTGTGTCCAGGCCCCTGGACCTGGCCCTGGGCCTGGTTGTCCTCCCCTGAGCCTTGAAGGTCTCACTCAGCTTGAGCAGGTGGTAGTGGTCGTGACCCTTTCTCAGAGAGGACCTCCCTTAGGTGTCGCCCACCTAAGACTGTTTTTTTCTATAGCCAGTCTCGACTTGATTTTCATTCCTACAAGCATGAATTGCCACATATCACGAGCCCATCCATCGGCCTCCTTACAGAGGGTCCTTCCCTTCCTGAAAGTTTAAGTCCGTGTGTTATACCGGAAGGTTGCTCCATCCAGCACACCTTGACGAAGTCTGTGGCAAGAGAACAAGGTGTTGTGCCCAAGTTTCAGATCCCCAATTACAGAGAGACCCAGTTCCACAGATGATAATGCAAAAGCAATGGAACTTTATCACTAGCCCGAGCCAGCACTAGCCCGAGCTAGGGTCCAAGTCTCATCCGACACAGTGGAGTCTTGACAAGGACCCCGACTCTGAATCACAAGCAGCTTATATAGGGTTCAGTCAAGAAGTGGTTTATATGCTGGTCTATTTTTAACATTGGCCTATTACAACAGTGGTCAGCAATTAGACAGTAGGTACCAGTAACGGTTTGGGGTTCTTTGCAAGAAGGGTGCGGCCACCCCTCATGACTGACCAGATCCAACTGCCCAGTTTCTTATCTAGGTGAATTACTCTACTGGGAGTTTACCAGAAACTGCAAGTCCTGCTTCAGGGAAACAGGAACTGGGGCCTAGTTGAGATTTGATGTTAGCTGCATCCTGTCATGGCTTCTGAGGAGCCTGCTTTTGAGCCTCACAAAGGAACCTTTATTCCCCAGAGGGCTAAGTCCAGACAGCAAAGGGGTCAGAGAGCATCATCCATGAGTGGTGGTCTCCCAAACTGCTTTATGGCGCGTTTCTGCAAACTCCCTCTTCGGATTCACACTCAGTATTATGCCTCAGTAACACTGCGGATACACTTCAATTGTGGTGGCAATGACACCGGGACTCCTGGGCAGCAAGGACATCTTAGATAAGGGTCTACGATCACGTCCAGGGAGGTCAGGCAACGTCATTCACAGTAAGAAAAAGGGGGGATGGGGCTGGAGTGATAGCACAGCAGGTAGGGTGTTCAGCTTGCACGTGGCCGACCCAGGTTTGATTCCCAGCATCCCATATGGTCCCCTGAGCACTGCCAGGAATAATTCCTGAGTGCAGAGCCAGGAGTGACCCCTGTGCATCGCTGGGTGTGACCCAAAATGCAAAAAAAGGGGGGGGGGAGCGGAAATCCCCTGAAATTAGCAGGGGGTCGTGTGCTTTTATTGATTTTGTCTGTTTGCTTGGTTCCTTTTGGGGGCACACCCAGTGATGCTCAGGGGTTACTCCTGGCTCTGCATTCAGGAATTACTCTTGCCAGTGCTTGGGGGACCATATGGGATGCTGGAGATCGAACCCGGGTTGGCTGCATGCAAGGCAAACACCCTCTCCACTGTCCTATTGCTCTGGCCCTGTGGTTTTGTAGTTAACAGCACATACAAGCTATGACTCGCACATTGCCATGTGAAAAGGGGCGTGGCCTGGGGTGTTCCTTGTGCACTAGGGACCCGACCAGTGCTGGGCGTGTTGCAATTGTTCTTTGTGGTCTCTGAGTCTCTTCCCTGCTCTCCTGCAGCTGCTCCAGCCATGGCAGCGACGACAACTCCTGCCTCTGCTTTCGAGGCTCTCATGCACGGCGTAACCCACTGGGATGTCCCCAAAGACCCCGTCCCCTGCGAGCTGCTGCTCATCGGCGAGGCCGCCTTCCCGGTGATGGTGAAGGACAAGGGCCAGGTGATCATCGCCGCCTCCACGTACGGCCGTGGACGCCTGGTGGTGGTGGCCCACGAGGGCTACCTGGTGGCCGCCAGCCTGTCCCCTTTCCTCCGCAACGCCGTGGATTGGCTCCGTCCCACGCCCGGCGCTCCCGTGGGCGTCCACCCGTCCCTGGAAGCGCTCACCAGCATCCTTCAGGGTGCTGGTACCAAGGCTCAGCTGGAGTCGGAACCAGGAGCGGCCCTGGGGGTTTACTGCATGGACGCCTGCAGCGACGGCCTGAGTGAGGAGCTGGTGCAGTTTGTGAAGCGCGGAGGGGGCTTGCTCATCGGGGGCCAGGCCTGGTACTGGGCAAGCCAGCACGGTGCCCACCAGGTGCTGTCCGCGTTCCCGGGGAACCAGGTGACTTGCGTGGCTGGAGTGTACTTCACCGACACCTACGGGGACACGGGCCGGTTCAAGGTCTCTAAGAATATCCCCGAGATCCCGCTGCATGTCAGGTGAGTGACTGTGGTCTGCTCAGCAGAGGGAGGGTGGTGCCTCTCTTGAGCGACCTGCCATCCTTGGTGTTTCTTTCTTTGTTTTGCTTCATGAACTACCGTTCGCCATGTTCCAGGCTCCCTTCACTTAAGTGATTAAGTGAAGTTATGTCATATATATAACATATACATCACTGTCATTGTCCTCCCGTTATTCATCAATTTGCTCGAGCAGTCCCAGTAACATCTCCATTGTGACACTTGTTACTGTGTTTGACATATTGAATATGTCACGGGTAGCTTGCCAGGCATTGCCGTGCGGGCGAAATACTCTCGGTAGCTTGCCAGTCTCTCCAAGAGGGGTGGAGGAATCGAACCTGGGTCAGTGGGGTTGGCCGCATACAAAGCAAACACCCTGCCTGCTGTGCTAGCACTCCAGCCCAAAATACACACACACACACACACACACACACACACACACACACACACACATATATATATATATATTCCTTTTGTTGAGTGCTTTACAGTGACTTACTTCCACATCCCTCTCTGTCTAGCAATCTTCCATAAACACTCCCCAGCCCTAAATTCATTGATTCATTCATGGCTGAGAAACAGCAGCTTTGAAATTCTAGTGTTTCTTCTATTCAGAAGTTCAAATAACTTCTATAGACACAATTCCTCTTTGTCAGCTGTTGGCTTAGATGACTTCGAGAAGGCCAAGCTTGATTTCTTCCTCCTTTTTCTAAACCTCGTTTCCAAAATATTGAATTATTTTGTGTTTACCCCCAGGTCAACAATACATAAGAATTTCTTTCAGTCTCATGACAAACTCAGAGATGCTCATGAAATTTTTTTAAAGAAGTATTATGCTCATGAAAGAAGGTATTTCATTTCGTGTCTCTCTGTCAGTGCTAAAATGAGCCGTGCCTGTCACCAAGAGCCTCTGCAGGGTGACTGTAGAACCTTTATTTTTTTTAATTAATTAATTAATTTATTTATTTTGAATACCCATCCCTCCACCAGTGCCCATTTCCCACCACCACGGATCGCAGTATCCCTCCCACCCTCCCCCTCCCCATCCCACTCTGCCTTTGTGGCAGGGCATTCCCTTTTGTTTTCTCTCTCCTATTGGGTGTTGTGATTTGTATAAGAGTTAAGCCTGATTTTCAGGGAGAAACGTTGCATGATTTACTTTCCATTGATCACTTTGTATATAAGGAGATGTTGTGTGGCCTCGTAAGCTCTGCTCTTTTTGGGAACTGGTGCATTCTCCGGGAACTGCGGAGCCGCCCAGTGGCCTTTCTACACTGTGGACTGTAGAAACTTTAGAGCCAGCCCCGCAGACATCCAGGCTTTTCAGTGTAACAAGGTCTGTCTCATTGGTCTGTGGCCCCAGACACTGCACCAGCCATTTCTGCAAGGAGCCCTGGTCTCTTCTAGAGGGAAATGACATTTGGGAACCACCATCTCATTGGTACCATCTTCAAGAATGAGTAGGTTCAGTATTGTTTCTAGGCCTTATGAGTATCCACAATTAGTGTGGATTTTGTTTTAAAAAAATTATTTTTTTTACCAAATTCATAAAAGAATTTATTGAAAGAAAGGAAAAGAAATGGAGGGAAGTTTCCAGATTATGGGAGGGTTCTCCTAAAGAAGGATTCCAGAGAAAAGCAGAAGCCCTTCTCCTTATACACCTTTTAAACAAAGGTAGGTGAAGGAGTATTTCTTTTTTTTTTTTTTAACAGTTAAGTCCATTTAACTTTAAAATGTAGGAGTAAATATAGACTTTGTTCAGTTGCTCAATATAAGTACTCATTGCTTTTCTTTTTCCTGTATTTTATAATGTCTGTATAAGCCTGGCGCTTTCTCTTTTTATTTTTATTTTTATTTTATTTTTTTCCTGTTTTTATTTTTTTCACAATTAATATACATATATTTTAGTGGATAGCTTCATGTACAGAATCAAGAGGTCAGCATTTTTTTTTACACTTGTAGATTTACAATTTTTTGTGCTTTGGTTTCAATTATACAATGATCAGATACCCATCCCTCCACCAGTGCTCATTTTCCACCACCATGGATAATATCCCCCCACCCCCATCCCCCTATCCCCCCCTGTATCTGTGGCAGGGCAATCCTCTGTGTTCTCTCTCTCCTTTTGGGTGTTGTGGTCTGCAAAAGAGCCATTGAGTGGCAAACATGTTCAGTCCATAGTCTACTTTCGACATGCATCTCCCGTCCTGGGAGGATCCTTCAAACATGCTTTATTTGGTGCTCCCTTCTCTATCTGAACTGCCCTTTCCTCTAGGATACCCGGCTGGCCTCTAAGTTATGGAGTAATCCTCCTGGTGCTGATCTCAGCTATTCTTGGGTATTAATCTCATATTTTGTTACTTTATATCCCCCAGATGAATGCAATCTTTCTATGTCTATCCCTCTCTTTCTGACTCATTTCGCTTAGCATGATACTTTCCATATTGTACCACTTGTATGTAAATTTCATGACTTCATCTTTTCTAACAGCTACATAGTACTCCATTGTGTAGATGTACCAAAGTTTCTTTAACCAGTCATCTGTTCTTGGACATTCAGGTTTCTTCCAGTTTCTGGCTATTGTAAAGAGTGCTGCAATGAACAAACGAGTGCAGATGTCACTTCGACTATACCTTTTTGACTCTCTGGGATATATTCCCAGGAGTGGTATTGCTAGGTCAAATGGGAGCTCAATTTCTAATATTTTGAGAATCGTCCATACTGTTTTCCAGAAGGGCTGAACCAGTGGACATTCCCACCAACAGTGAAGGAGTGCCCCTTTCTCGCCACATCCACGCCAGCATCGGTTGCTTTTGTTCTTTTGAATGTGGGCCAGTCTCTGAGGTGTGAGATGGTATCTCATTGTGGTTTTCATCTGCATCTCCCTGATGATTAATGATGCAGAGCATTTTCTCATGTGATTTTTTGCCATTCGGATTTCTTCTTTGAGAAAGTTTCTGTTCATTTCATTGCCCCATTTTTCGATGGGGTTGAATGTTTTCTTCTTGTGGAGTTTAACCAGTATTTTGTATATCCTGGATATCAACCCCTTGTCAGATGTGTATTCGGTGAATATCCTTTCCCATTCTGTAGACTGTCTTTGTATTTTGGTCACTGTTTCTTTGGAGGTGCAGAAGCTTTTTAGTTTAAGATAGTCCCATTTATCTATCTCTGTTTTCACTTGCTCGGCCAGTGGCGTGGCATCTTTGAAGATACCTTTAGTTTCAATGTCATGGAGGGTTTTGCCAATTTTATCTTCAATGTACCTTATGGTTTCTGGTCTGATGTTGAGGTCTTTAATCCATTTTGATCTTACTTTTGTACATGGTGTTAGGCAGAGTTCTGAGCCTATTTTTTTGCATGTAGCCATCCAGTGATGCCAACACAATTTAATAAAGAGGCTTTCCTTACTCCACTTCACATTACTTGCACCTTTATCAAAGATTAGATGATCATATGATTGAGGGGAGATGTCAGTGTATTCAACCCTGTTCCATTGGTCTGCAGTTCTGCCTTTGTTCCAGTACCATGCTGTTTTAATTATTACTGCTTTGTAGTACAGTTTGGAATTCCGCCTCTGGGTGGAAACTCTCAAAAGAGTTTAGGATTTGAAAAAAAGGGAAGTCTTTTTCATGACTGTGGGCTACTTCAGGGCTGGGAAATCACTTCTGAAGTTTTATTGTTTCCCAAAAGAAAAATAAAATATATTTCACTTTCCTACAGCCCCCTACCTATATGCCTGAAACACTATAAACTAAAACTAGTGTTAAAAATATATTTTAGGTTTACTTGATTTTGGGTTAATCAAAATATGTGTGTTTCTTCTACCCTGAGAATCTAGATAATTTCTACTGGATTTTTTTTTTTTTTTGCTTTTTGGGTCACACCTGGCGATGCACAGGGGTTACTCCTGGCTCTGCACTCAGGAGTTAGTCCTGGCGGTGCTCAGGGGACCATATGGGATGCTGGGAATCGAACCCGGGTCGGCCGCGTGCAAGGCAAATGCCCTACCCGCTGTGCTATCTCTCCAGCCCCTCTTCTGGATTTTTATTATAGCTCCTCACTCACTGTCCATTCATTATTACACTTTCAGTGTGTTACAATTATTAATAGGTTTTTCGAGTCTGTTGTGTGACCTTATTTAAGATAATGACCTTATTTTTAGATAATGGTAAAATAGTATGCCCAAAACACATTCTGGATATAATCCCTCCCAACCAAATGTGATTTTGAATACACTGATGGCACTTATTTTTATATTATGCTATGTATTTATAACTAGAAAGATGATTTTTAAAAGAAATTTCATTTATTTTTGAATTTTTGGGTTACATTCTATAGCACTGTCCTCTCATTGTTCACTGATTTGCTCGAGAGGGCAGCAGCAACTTCTCCATTGTGACACTTGTTGTTACTGTTTTTGGCATACCAAATATGCCACGGGGAGCTTGCCAGGCTACGGGGAGCTTGCCAGGCTCTGCTGTGAGGGCAGGATACTCTCGGTAGCTTTCCAGGCTCTCTGAGTGGGACGAGGGAATTGAACCAGGGTCGGTCGCATGCAAGGTAAACACCCTACCTGCTGTGCTATCAGCTAGAGCAATTGATAAATAACAGGAGGACAGTGTGACAGACAGTTGGTGATACTGAGCGATGCTCAGGGTATTCTCCTGGCTCTGCACTCAGAAATAACTCCTTGCCATGCTTGGGGGAGCATGTTGGATGCTGGGAATTGAACCCGGGTTAGCCGCATGCAAGGCAAATGCCTTCCCAGCTGTGTTATTGCTCCAGCCCCTAGAAAGATGATTTTTGAGGCATGCAAGTATAGCACATTATTCCACATGGCATGATGGTAGAAAGAGATCCATTTTTGGATAGATATAATAATCTAAGAAGTATAAAAATAATTTCTCCAAAATGTATTCTAGAGTTAATGTGTGTGGATACAAACATATATTTATACATACATGTATATATTTCAAATTTAAC